TACCAATTTAGACATATTTCAACTCTTTGAACCCTTGTCATAGCTCAACTTTAATTCCCAAAGTTTTCTGATACAGTGGCTTTAAAATGCAGTACACCAACTTGAACACTTGCCATCTACCAAACTGGAGTGCCTCTGTTATTTTTAGGGCCTAATCTTGCATGACCTTCTCCCATAAATGTGTTTTTCTGTCAGTTGGATTTTCACAACAGTTCCTTACTTACTTCACAAAGTACCATGCATAGTCAGTGGCCTTCCTCAGTTGTAAGAATTGTCTCTTACACACTGATTCTATAAAATAAAGGTTCTTTTCATCTGTCTGAACACCATTTGGCATGAAGTTACATAAACATGGCACAAATGTAAAAAATCCCCAAATACTAAAAAGTCTAAGTGACTGTCAAAAATCTACACTTTTTTATGCTTATCTGTCTTTCTGGCATTGAGATAAACAGCTTCTAAGGCTCTTTTGTGTCAGTGTTTGCAAAGCAGTGAATGGCACTTTAGCACTCATTTCTAGATCATTCAGAAGGCAGACACAGGATTGCCCTCCATTGCCACATTACAGAGCTGCCAAGCCACCTGCTGGAAGACATTTCTTCTGCCTTCTGCACTATCAACTGTAAGTTCAGGCTCTGGTTTTTCCTTAATTATTGATATTTTAGCCTTTTACAAGCCAGACTATTTTGATTTTAAAAGAAGACATTGTCTCCTTAGTTTAGGATTTTTTACTTCTTTTTCATATGAAGGGGGACTGTGTAAAGGCCTGGATATTTTTTCTGTAGGGCTGTTCTTATGATTGAACTTTGTCAAAGAATGAAGAACACAGATTCCTCTGATCAGCTATGTTGGGAGCTTTACAGATTCCKACTCATGCAAGCGAGAAGGAATAACGAACACTGTTCCAACTCCAGGCTTCAGAGGTTGTGCCAGGGAAACTATGTTGCTCACTTAACTGCTGAACACTGGCAGGGCTCTGGAACAGGGAAAATAAAGGGAGTTCTTTGTGTAATAGCAGCATGTCACAGCACACAGCAGTGACATCCTACACACCATCTGTGTAGGTCAAGACAAATGATGACACTGGAGTTTGGCTGCATTTCCACATACCTTAAGAACAAAGGAACAAAAATAGGCCCTTASGGCTAATTACAGGTACAATTATGTACAAAACAATAAAAAAACCAAAGTAATTATGAAAAAGTAGCAGATGCAAAAACTTCAGGATTACTATACCTTTGAAGACTGTGGAAAGAATGTTTAATATTTGCCTCCAGAAAACACCTAAGCAGAGCTACCTWTGTGTGGACAAGGTGACCAAGCTTCTGCTGTGCTCAGCGGAGTTGAATGTGGGTGTGGAGTGGGCTGAACAGCTACTGAGACTACAYAGCATGCACTGAATATAGCTCCACCACCCATAACAGGAGCTTCAACACTCGGGGTACAGCACACGCAGAAAAATCCAAGGTAGGTGCCTTTAGAAAAAGCTGGTAAGGGATCTGCCCACAACAGGCAGTGCTTATACATACACAGGAAAACACCAACTTTTGCAGGGACATTTGAGCTACTTCTAGTGTAGCAGGTTGGTAGCTGTACCAATGTGGCACGCTGTACAAATGAATACTTTGCTTCTCAGCAAGAGTAATAAATCCCTACCAAATACATCTGTGAGACAGATCTTCTGTACAGCCACAGGTCTTCTGTACAGCCACCAGGTTTTGCTAAGATTTACCTTTTGCTCCTCTAGAACAGGCTGCTACTAGGGAAGCAACATCTATTCCTCCCCCAGCTGCCTAAACCTGGGAACACTAACCAATTACTATTAGYCATTTTAATCAACTTGCACAAAATCCACAAAAAGCTGGGAAACAATGTTCTTGCCATTAGCTCAGCTGTCACACCACTACAGCAAGCAAAGAAGTACCAGGCATGAGCAACCRGAATGACTACAGAATTAATGACTATAGGCTTGTAGCAATTTTGACAGACTTTTTCCTTAATATGCACTTTTGAATAGAGCTTTTGAATGAAGCTATGCATGGCTGTGTGTCAGCTCATGGGTGCTTTCCTGTTAATATCAATRATTTCCCTATTTATTAGGCATTTTTCCTGTCTTTCAGCATCATGACATGATGTCCAATTAGACAGCCCTAACTGGATTATTTTTGCAATTAAGGTGTGAGGTAATACACTAAAGGCTACCTTAAATACACATATTGGAGATTAAAGTGGAACAGTTTATTCATAATGCTAACTAAAAATAGTTTGGTATTCACAAGTTCCATTAAATAGGATTTTCTATCTAGGAAATCTAATAGAAAGTCCATAAAACAAGCACAATTTTTCTGTTCAGAAAAATGATAATAGTGAACAGCCTGCTGTATAAAACAGCCCCTGAAATCCCTAAGACTGATTACCTACTTATCCAGACTAGGAACCGTAAGAATGGATACATACTTGGCAGCTCTTTTTATCTTTTTTTTTTTTTCCTCAACACCAACACAAAAAGGGATAAAAGAAAATAGGGAGAATAATCCTAAAATAATCTTGTTCTGGTTGGTCCTGATTTTTTGAGGTAGAGAACTTTTAGTCTACTCCTTTTATTTGTTAAGTTCTAAAAAATAAAGTCTATTTTCTTCCTCATTACCACAAATACCATAAAATACCTGCTTATTATGGTATGCACTGAATGGTGGCTGTATTTTCTTATGCTGTTTTATGTTATCCTGAAAAATTTCATGATGGATTAGGTGGGTCATTTGCAAGAAATGCAGTTTCAGAAGACTTGCACACTGATCAATACACGAGGTAAGTTGTTTGGGTTTTTTTTACCTTCAGACCTTGCACAACATTTAAGAACAGACCATTCATACATCGCAGATTTCTTTTGTTTTTTGCTACACAATGCTCCTGCCAACTTACAGTTCATTTGTGATCCAGTTACRAAAGTCGGGTTATCCTTTCCCTCTACCCAGAAATTTATTATTAACACACAGAGGCAAATAAAAGAGAAGGTGTAACCAGCATTGAAATAATAAGCTTATCTACTGCATTGCAAATACAACCCTGGACTTGCCACATCAGTGTTGTGAGCAAGTAATACTGAAACCTGTCAAAAAAGCTTTTGAATACAGTTCTACACAAGCTTCAATAAGAAACAACACTCTTTGTACAACTAACATGGGTTGCACTTCAGTTTTCAGATGGATGGGATGCCAAACAAGACAACAATTTAAATTTGTTTAACCATTTCAAGGATAATTACAAGATTTGCTCTGTCATTACTYCCACCTCCACTAAGCTCCTACTTCRCGTGGTCAAAGCAACTCAGCAGCTAGTTTTCAAGTTTTGTTTTTTTACAAGACAGCAGTTTAAACCCCCAAAATTAGACATTAATAATGTTTACATGTCTGCAATAAGAAAAAATTAAAGTGAACCTCTTTGTTTTCTCCAGATATTCTAACTCCACAGATTTTGTTCCTATTTATACAATACTGATCATCAATTAGAAGCCGCACAAGCTTCTTACACAGGATCAAGCATATAAACTAAAAGATGCCAACTCATCTGGAATCCCAAACCCACTGTTCTTGGAATACTCTGCGGCAGCAGCATGACTTTACAGCAATCTAGACCCCAATGGCCACTGGTGTGAAACAGACAGCATATGTACTTCTTTTTATGAAACTCATACAGACTGCATCAGGGAGCTGAGGTCACCACAGCTGCTTAGAAGAATAATTCAGGTTTCTAGTTTTTTGCCAGGTAATCTCATTACRAATATGACTCCCCACTGAGGGAAAACAGAGAGGCCTAGCCATTCTGCAGAGCACTTACCAGAAATAGTTACTAAACATCCTCTCACTCCTAAGTACAAGCACGCATGTTCAAAAATCTAACTACAAAAGTACCTGATGTTGAGACTTATGCTCCTAGCAGCGTGTCACCTTTTACAAGTCTGCTATATGCAAAACTCTGCCCTRCAATGAGGAAATGGGTGGAAAGGGAAAACACCTACATTGCATACTCAAAGTCATGCACATAAAGAGCAAATGAACACTGGAGCACAGGTCTTAGGAGGAGCAGCTGAGGGAGGTASTGTTTCATCCGGAGAGGAGGCCCAAGGGAAACCTTATTTTCTCTACAACCATCTGAAAGAAGGTCATAGACAGGTGAGAGTCACACTTCTCTCCTAGGTAAAAAGTGACAGGACAAGAAAAAATAGCCTTAAGTTGCACCAGGGGAGGTTTAGACCAGATATTACAAAAAATTTATTGAYGGGTSGTCAGGCACTGAAACAGGCTGCCTAAGATAGTTGGAATCACCACCCACAGAAGTATTWAAAAACTCCCAYGCAGACATRGTGCTTTGGGACATGGTTGAATGCTGGACCTGGCCATGTTAGGTTAACAGCTGGACTCRGTGATCTTAGAGGTCTTTYCCAACCTTACTGATTCTATAGTAAACTGGGAATACAGAAGTTACAACAAGAGTTGCAAAATACTGCCAAAGGCAAATACAATACACATCCCATTGAACACAAGGGARCAAAGTWAACAGGTTAGAAGTACAGATAACAYACTCCTCTCTTACCTAGTATTACTATTAAACTCACACATTAATCCAGAACGGTTTTAAAGATTCACCTTAATCCCGTGTTGACTGTCAAGCTTCAGCCACCCTCATCCTCCAGCCATCCTGGTTGAACCACTTATTTGCAGCTATGAAATCCCTTTTTGAAAAAGTAATCCCACCATCACCTTTACATATACAATAACTATACTTGTGGCAACACAACCATTCTGGTAGACAATGCAAATGTGCCCTTACCCTGTGGCAGAGAGCAGTTTCTGTTTAGCTCACCATTAGCTCAGTCTTGCACCAATTTAATCTGCACATATTTTAGAYTGTTTATTAAATGCTRTATTTTTCTATACAAGGTACAGTRCACAGCTTTAAGATCTGAAATKATGCTGCYWCCTCAGCAGTATTGCCCYWAAAAGTACTCMTGAGGTGCTGGGAACTGAGATATGCAGCGATATTGATGGAAGGATATGAGCCTTGCCACCTGGGGGAGGCAGCACCAGCACGGCTGATGCAGGGTGGCACCGAACCTCACAGTAGYATTGAAGGGCTCTGAAGTTCAGTTCTCAGTTTGTTTCCATTTATGTTCCACTTTCTTTGCCTATCTGATGTGTTCCTAACAGGGATCACACAACAGAACAAAGACCTAGCAGAACAGATATCACATTCTACATCAACTCAATACACATGGATTTCTGCATAATTGATCATTTTATTGGAATCTGTTAAAAGATGTTTGTTCAGATCACCTGTTCAGCAGGCAGTTATGCTGCTTGTGTTCACTGCATACATACTGAGCAAGCCTCCAAGCAATACATAAATATTTGACCCCATACTTAAGTATCTTTACTACAAAAAGCAGCTTTTCCTCAATAAAAGTTGTATCCATGGGACCAATGTGCATTTCTTGTAGCTATGACTTGTACCAAATCCATATTAACAATCATAGGTTAAATACATCAATACATGTTAATAGAGCTTTAACAGTAAAAAAAGTAAGAAAGTTGAATACTGCAACAGCTGGGATATATACTGCATTTGAATGATAGAACATAGTCTATTGACCTAGTTCATGACACAGTCACCAAAACACAACATACAGAAGCAATGTCAACAGCCAGTACTTGTCTAAGCATTTTAGAGTTTCCCTTTTCCCTTCAAATAAASAAGGGTTGTGCACATTTTTAATGTGAACTTAGGCATCATTAACCTCACAGCAATATTGATGCTGATAGTTAAGGKTAGGTAAAGAAAGAGACATACTGAAGCTGCAGGCCACTGAGTACACATAGCATTTCTCAGTTTAAGGAGCCAATGTTTACGATAGGACAGGTTCATTGTTCAAACTAAGTGTACCTTATGTAACAGTAGCATTAATTGGCAAGACAYATTTAGCAGAAAATGCCACTTTAGAAATATACCATGTTTTGGTTAATTAAGTGTTGATTCAACTAGCTATGAAGGCTAGGGAGGTATTTTAATTGAAACACCTTGGTAAAGTGAAATAAGCTGACCTATCAGCTTATTGTTCTATAGAACGCAGAAACAAAGTTACATATGTTCTTTCGGTGATCACAGACTAATATTTCAGCAGGCATTTCAGTTTTTAACCTAAGGGCAGGTTAAAATAAATGTGTATACARTGCAACATACCTAAAATAGACGCAATGATGACCAATTAGCTGTCAGCCCCTACTTTTTTACCATTACAAGCCCAACAATTTTGGCACACAAGAACAGCCAATCTTTTAAGTTCAAATTCAACCTTTATAAGCCACAGAGATCCATTTCAGAGACTGCTCTGTGATAGCATTCTGGACTGTAAAAACATGCATACACCAGCTGCCCAGAAACACACAAGTAAAAGAAGTTGCTAGAAATAGCCACTGAACATACACATGCATGCCAGTGAGTTTCCCAATTAAAATGCTATTTACAAGCCATACGTCAATTTTTTGTAATTTGTAGTTTTTAACCTAACACATATGACTTCAAGGGAAGGACATACAATGCAACCTTTTGAAATACCCAAAGTGAAAACGAGTGCAAGTTACATGGCTACAAAGAGGTTAGCAATGATTTCCTGATCTTTTCAGGTGAAAAATTATTTACTAGGTAAGCAACACCAGAGAGGGGCGGAGTCCATGAAGGACATAACCTTTAGGAAAGCAAACACAGCCTTAACCAACAATACTGACTTTTTGAAAAGTCTGAAAGTTTCTTTACAGTGAAAACCAAAGTCCTCCACAAAATCATCTGRTATCTTGCTGCATGTTGTAATGTGTTATTGCCCTATAAGTTGTGCAGAAACCCACAGCCAACTATTAATGCACAAGAAATTTAGAAGTTACCGTGCATAAGATATGATTAAGCTGTAACAGAATCTCAGGTATCAATTATGGCTTAGACCTGCATTGAAAGTCAACACTTAGACAAATATGTGAATGACATTGTCCATATGAAAGTGAGACAACTTTGTTACACTGAAGACTTACTTGGTGAAAGTGACCTTCTGCTTAGAAGAAACAATAGACCAATATATTCACAGATAACCATTGCAAGAATTAGCTCTGTAAAAAATTCAACAATACTTTTCACTCATCTTTTCTTTAAGTGTATATATTYGCAGATATTTTATAAGCAAGCTGTTTCTTGAACTGCCACATCTTTGACAGTTTATTYTTTATCCTACTTCCTCCCTCATCCAAATTTGCCAAATTCAAGACACTGTTTTAGCAGCAGTCATGAAATCAATAGTGCAAAGTTGTTATAAAAACCTCTTTTCCCAAGCTAGGRCATCCTCTTCAAGTTTTGTATTAGGTCAATAGCATTTCCCATGTATTTAGAGATCTGGGAAAAGGCAGGAAYAATAGATATGTTGAATCTAGCAAACAATTGTTTGTCCAGGGGCTTTTTTTTATTTTAATTTTGGGTGGATAGTTTTTATTTGCTGCTCATACTGGCCATTTTTACAACCTTGGTAACAAGTTCACCACATTAGATTCACAACTCTTCATCTTGATATGCCCCTATAACATGTGAATTGAACTGCACCACAATAATTGTAATGTCATCTCTATACATTCGAGCCAGCTCTTCTGGAAGACTAAGCATCTTGGACAGTCGCTCATGATCCACAGTTCCAAACTCATTGTTACCCACTGCATGACGGATCAGGTGAGTTGCTGCATTCTGATCTTCAAATACTGAAGAGATTCTTGCTCTCCTTTCTGTTAAGAGACCATGCATCTGTCCCAAAGTTACCTTATAGCCACCAACAGCTATTGGCTGCTGGTGATGAACACCAGTGAGGTACTCCCCTACAATTCGAGCCACATCTTGTCTGTGCATTGTCTCCCACAGCCCATCTGTGGCCAAAACCARGAACTTATCCTGTGGTCTTAATCTGTGATGTATGACTTCTGGTTCAGCTGTGAGATAYGGGGGAGTGTAATAATTTGGAGGAATAAACTTTGTATATTCATTGTCATTCAGCTGATCTGGGCCTGATTCTATTACTCTCTTCTGCAGTTCAATACTCCATTTAAATTTCACATCACCAAAAGCTCTGAAGGGCATCAGGAGACCCAGGAGACGATCTTGTTTCACAAGACTTTTCTCTTCAGACTTCGGATGCTCCATTTTCACACGTTCCACTTCACGTTCATTTTGTGCATTGTGATCATAGGACAAATTAACTGCAGACCAAGATCCRTCTTCTTCCTGAACGCCAAGCATTGCTCTACTGTCACCTGTGTTTGCAATGTGCAAGTCRACACCATCCACATGGGCCACACAGGCAGTTGCACCAGAAAATGCTACTCGCAGTACTAGGTAGTTGAGAAAAGAATTTGGATCTCCTACTTGAGCTTCCAAAGAAATATCATTATCAAGCCTCTTAAAGGCATTAATTAAAGCTTCTCTCACATCAGTAGTCTCTCCACTGTTGAGGTCAATCAGCTCCTGCCAGTAAGTTCTTAGACTGTTGAAGTAAAGCTTGGAAGCCTCTTTACTAAAATAATCATTGGGATGCTTGTGCCACTGTAAAATGGGCAACAGAGCTCTGCCACTCTCCACAGCATTTTCTATTTCAAGTAAAGTCTCATGAGGTAACAAAGAGACAGCAATGTAGTAAAACAGTCTTTCACTGACAGCTTGAGCACAAGCACAGCCTGCATGGCCATCAAACACACCCAGAAGCATCCCTCTYGTCTGTAAACAAGTGGCAGCACTCCTCCGGTCCTCTATTGGAGCATTAGCAGGCAACTGGTTACTATCGAAGCCAAGAACAGAACTTACATTTTTGCCATCAAATTCTGGGACTTTGAAACTGTATTCATTCGCCTTCAGAATGCTGTTGACCTGTGGAGGGGTGAGGTAAAACCTCTGTGGCGCAGAAGCATGATCCCTTGTGTGAATAAAGTGATTAAAGTGCTCCTTTGGCCTATAAAGTGCCGCAAATTTCTTCTGCGGTGCATATCTGAAGTGACTGTGAGCAAAATGAGATGACAAACAACACAGATGTCTRTGGTGGCAGTAACACGCAGTACTGCCTATTCTGCTAATCTCACAGTTACGAATCAATGGGAACAGATGAGCTGGTGCTGGCATGGCATCAGACAACAAWGGTAGCCTGGAGCTTCGGACTGGAATAGCTGAAAGACAAGAGAACAACTCTGCTTAGTGGGACAGCTAACAGATTTTTTTCACCAGAATTGTGTTAAGATGTTTACAGCTCCTAGCCAAGTTGCTTATTATATGAGTTCATAGCTTCAAAGGACTTGACAAAGAAAGGCATTAAGAGATGCTTGTTCATAGACACTACACTGGGCTGTAACAAAAAAGCCATACCATACTTCTGCACAGGTATYTCAGCTCTTATACCCAACTCAGTTTGAAGGCAGGAAGTGAAAGCATCAGCCAGACAGTCAATGAAGCTTCAAGCAGCTTAGCACAGTGGTTAGCATGGAGCACTCTACKGAACTGCCACAGGACTTTTACAGATATTTGCTTTCCTGGTGATTTCACAGCTGACAGAGCCAGATGTGGCACCCRAGAAAGAAAACTCTGTCTTTCTGTAAGGCTGAAGAAGGGAAGGCAGCTAACAGGAATACTCAAGAAACAACTCTGAGATGACATACAATGAAGATGGTTTAGACAACAGAAGTAAGTAGTATGTGACAGAGAGCAGGTTTTTTTTATGCAGTCATAAATCAGTAGCAGGTTGTTTCTTCTCCCCCCTTTCATATATAAGGCATCAAGCTTTTGTGACATATACAAAATAGTCACAGCAGTACATGCAGCAATTTTATAGCTTAAGATATAAGAGGTAGAGAGAAGATGCATCTTTCCAACAGCTATTTCATCCCAKTTAATTTCAAGATTATAACACACTTTAAAAAGCTACTCAGTTGAAGGACTACATGCAAATTGTGCTTGCTTCCATGACTAGAATAGAGCCTTGCACAATACTCTAAAGCTAGTTTAGTGTTACAAGCCACTAGTATCCAAAAAAATATTCTACTACTACCTGCCACATCTAAAAGCTTTCCTTATTTTTCACTCCCCTGAAAAAAAGAGTATTCCAGCATACGCTTTCTTGTCCCCATCTACCTACCAAATCACAACATTAGTGCGAGTGCCTCTCAAAAGCCATATTCACTACGCCTCATTATGAGGAAGTCTTTTACAATGTAATACTTGAGAAACAATTCCAGAGTGGAAACGGAGTTGAACTGTGCCTTGTGTGAAGTATACATATTTAAGGCAAATTCAATTGTCTCTTTTATGATCAAGTTTCATCATAAAAGCTTTTTCTCAGAAAAGACCATTAGAAGACYTACTGCAGTCATAAGTACTAATCTATCAGCACCACTAAATCTTAAATTGTTGTACTGAAGAAATGGATAATGCTGCATAATGCAAGGTGCTTCAATCAGTAAATGGATTTTTTTTAGCCAAGCTGGCATACCAATATTTYAAAATGAGACTCAACCCTAACAAAATACAGCAAGCCCCAATATTCAGTCTACCGAATCATGCACTTAGGAGGAATTGCATTCTGCAATCACCCCATTCCATAGGCTTCCCAGTATTAATGAGTGACTGTCGTACATTGACAAACTCTCCCGAGTCTACCACTGACTGCTGTGAAGACTGCTCAGTTTTCTGCTGTGTAGGTACCTGGAGGAGCTCAGGCTGTAATCCAGATACACGGCAGCACTGTATTGGCTCAAGCTTCCAGATGCATACTGAATTTATGTTAGTCATTTGCTTCTTAGAAAGGYGTCTCCAGTCCAGGCTTCACATGCACACAGCACGACAACAGTAGACTGCAACTCCAAATATAGATTTTAAATTCTATTCACTGCCTTCTAATTATATAGGAGCTATTTTGGTAACAGTTATGTATTTCTTCACATGACATTTAAAAGCAACAATTTTGCTTACAGAACAGTAACCTTAAGGTTCTATGGATGTGCCTGGCCAACAGCAGAACCRCCACTTCAGCACTGGTCTCCCATTAGACTACAGCTGAATCAAGCTCTCCTGACTGCTCAGCATTTGTGTTCAGTGCTGACCCACAGTGGTGCCTCAACTGTTCTGACAGTTTTGTTGGTCCATGATGAAGCAAAAATATGAATGTATGACTGCTRGAACACTTCTGCAGTGCCACCAGGGGATATTTTGCTGATTTTTAATCATTAGTTTATCAAATAGTATGTGAAATCCAAGAGGAAGTAGYAAAAAGTTGGGCTCACATTTTCCACAGCTCATATCATTTACAGTAGATCCATGTCAGCTTAAGAGATCAGTCTGCTTCACATACCAGATTCAATAATTCCAAGTTGATTAAGTAAATGCATAATTCCAAATGTCCCAACCTGAAAAGAAGTTTAAGTCTCTTCCATTTACCCCCACAACACAGATGCCCTGAATATAACCAGACACTCCAGCTAGGCTTTAAATAATTAAGATCCCAAGATCATTTTGGGTGATCAAAAGATGGTAGAGGAAAAAAAGTAGAAATTTTACAGTTCAATCAAGATTTTTCAAGATATTAGAATCAATCTAGTATAAATACCTCTCCAAGCCCAGAACAGGGTACAAGTACTATTTTTCAAGCTGCAAATACAACGTGACCAATAATAAATCAGATGATTAACTTAAGGGTTCTGTAGTATTACACTAAATAAAATAGAAAAACGTTCCACCTTTCTTTAATAGAGGTTCGTCACAGCCATACTATTAAGGCTAATYGACACTGCACAGACAGGTTCCTCCAAAACACTGCGCCAGACACGCATRGCTTTAGGTAAAAACACTCACTCGGGTGCCTTTCCTACACCGGACAGACCTGAATGAGCCAGCTGGAGAAGACAGGGAGGTGGAGAGGAGGAACAAGTAACACTCAACACAAGCAGCACCGTTAATCCTTCCCTCCGGCCTCAGCCCTCAGACACAGCCCAGCCTAGCAAYCCCTTCCCCGGGTCCCATCCAACCMCGAGCCCGTCGCWCCACGAAGRGAGATACATACCGATCCGCCTGGGCCCAGGACATACACACATTCTCCTGTCACAACATGAAGCCGCCAACATCCACAAAGCAGAAGCCCGGGGGGCGGGGGGAGAAGCAAGGCAGAGAGTTTGTTAGAGAAGACGTAGAGCTCCGGCACGGAGGCAGGACGGCAGACAGGAGGAGACACGCACACACAGCCGTTCTGCGGGCGCACGGCCCCGCTGCCGCTCGCCCGGCGATGGGACCGAGCCAGCTCTGCAGGGACCGCCCGCACCCGCCGCCGGCCCGGCTRCCGAGCCCCGCCGGCCCCGCTGTCCCTTCCGGCAGGACGAGGGGCAGGGCCCGCTGGCGCTGGGCGCCGCCGCGGCGAACACCGCCGGCCCCTCAGGCGCTGTGCGGCCCCGACATGGCCGCCCCTCCCCAGCCAGCCACCCGCCCGCCTCCGGCACGACCACCTCCTCCTCCCTCCGCCCGTCCCGGGCACAGACCTGGCCCTTTCTCGGGCGGCTCAGGGAGACGGGTGGAAGGACCGCGCGGCACAGCAAAGGAGGCAGTTGAGACAGAGCGCGCCGCCCCAAACGCGCACACCACCCCCAAACCCCCCAACAACCACCGCCTCACGCCCGCGGCCGCCGCGCCTTATAAAGGGCCCTGCGGCGCGCGGCGCTCCGCCCATTGGCCAGCCGAGGAGGGCAAGGCGGGCACGTGACGCGGAGGCTGAGGGAGCGCGCGGCACGGGCGCAGGAGGGGGTGCTGCGTGCGCGCGCACCGCGCAGGGGCGGGAAAGGCGCGGGACCGGCGGGCGCGCGTTGTGTCCGCCCCCCTCAGGTGTGCGTGAGGGCAGGGAGAGCCCCCGGGATGCGCTTTTCCGAGTGGGAAATGGGGGCGTGGGGATTTCCCTTTGAAATGTTCGTGAAGTGTCTTTAACAGGTATGAAGCACGTTAACTCCGCCAAGAGACCGCCAGAGAGTGTCCCTTAAACTAGGGACCTCTGCACTGAGGAAGCCCCGCACACTCCTTTGGTCGGGAGTCAGAGTCACACAACTTCTGACTCTTACGGAGACCGAACATGGGAAAATGTCCAAAAACTTTTGTAGGGCGTATTGGCATTTACTCTGAATTCCTTTCAAAGAGTGCCTTTAGTGCTTTTTGGATTTTATTTTTCCCCTTGAAATATTCGAGTTGACTTGAACAGTCACAAAGCATGTTAACTGAAGTCTTTACTGAAACGTGGGGATGTGGGGGTTTTTATTCATTTAGCCCGTGGTGTTCGGTCGTCTCCAGAATCCCCCAAGCAAAGCAGGCTGCTATGGAATGCCAAAGACCAGGGACTTGAGTGCTTCGACATCGCCACATTGCTGCTGTCACTGCCCTCAGGAATGGCAGTGGGAAGAAGGAGCAGCGCTTCCCTGGAAAGGCAACACCCGCCAGTGCGACAGCAGAAACAGCCTCCCCTCCCTCCTTTCTCTCCCTTCTCTYGGTTACTGTCCTGTCCCTTACACATCTGTAGGGCAACACTCAGTTTTCCGTGTGCTTCTGAGATACTCTGATCCAGATGTACTCTTCAAATACATTTCTGAATTTGGAAAGTATATAAATTCAACAGTATTTTGATTTTCTTGTTAATCTCTGTTTATAGATGCCTGTGGATGCCTTACTATTTTTCAGGGGGTCTGGGATGCCCACTTTGCTGTGTGTTGTTAGCAGCAGATGTTAGCAAGCCTCGGGATGTTGCAATTAGCATTACCTTGGCAGCTGCAACAAAACAGATTTTGACTATACTTAGATCCTTACCCAGTTGGTAGGATGGGTACAATTGTGTACCAAAACCAGGAGAAGAAACAAAGGGAAATCTGCACTTAGTGCCCAGAAGACTCAAGAGCTCTACTTGAAATGGAAATGTGGGAAGTACCCCTCTGTGACTCTCTGTGTGAAAACCAGCTAGAAAGATAAAATGATGCAATCTTTAAAAATGTGAGTCTTTCCTGGTAGTAGCTGAAAACTAAGTATTAAAAAACTAAACTCTGAAAACAGTATTAAAGTTTTCATTTACTGGTGCTCTGGGTGACTTTTGAGACATTTGTTTATCCAGAATGGTACACCATCATCTTCTCTTCGAGGCTTATTTAAGAAGTAAAAAAAAAAAAAAAAAAGATCTGATAGACACCATTGTACATTACAAACTTCATTAAACAGCATGGAAAACAAATTATTTGCATTCCTTTTTAATGGTAGCACACTGTTAAAAATAGATTAGCAGAATGTGCTGAAACAACAACCATTTACATAATTTTRTACTTGCAGCAAGAGTCACTGTAAAGCCCCCAAGTTTAGGAATTTTCTTAWAGACTATGTAAAGTAGTATTATCAAGGCGCCTTCTTACCCTGTCAGAAGGTAGAAGGCTGTGGGAACACAAAGCTGTGCATGTGTGAATTTAAGTGATGGTTGTATGAGTAGATRCACAGAAATGGGTTGGGGTGAAGTCACCTCATATTCCTCTAAGTACAGGAGTTTGTAGAGTGGCTTCATGTATGACTTCCATAGAGAATGTTGCTGTCTAGAGTTGATTACTTAGAAAAAAAATTCCACAAAATAGTTAGCATTTAGCACTTAAGGTCTTCAGAACATCTTGTGCCCATTAGTTCAGCTCTCTGTAATTTGCTGTGAAATTGAAAGGTTAGTGGTACAGCTCCCTATTTATTTATTTAATTATCCCTCTCTTCCTGATTTAAGGCCAGGAGAGGAGCTACTTTTAGAGCTGGTCTTGGAAGTTGTAATTCCCTGTCCCACAGTATCCTGTTGATACCATATATCTCTGAACATTAGACAAAATTCGAATTTTAAAATTCTGAGTGAGAAAATACTTTGGCCTTAGTAGACACATATAAATGCCACAAATTGCCGACAAAATGCTAAAATTTGGCTGACATTTTKCTCCTCAAACTTACATGAGTTTGCTGGTGTGTTGCCAGAAGCTGGATGTTGCAATCTAACTGGAAAGTTAGATTTTCCTTCTCTTCATCCTGCTGCTGCCTGGACCTTTTTGTGCACTTTGAGCAACAGTCCATTTTTGCTGATTCTAAATAATAAAAAATATTTTAATGGATAAAAACATGTTGTTCCTCATCTAACATTTTTCACAAGAGATTGATAGAAAAGCCATTACTTGTAACTACTTCAAGGTATGCAGAGTCTCCCTGTTTCCCTGGATGAAAGGATTATCAGCTGAATGTAACAAGAGACATGAGTTCTTGTCTTACTGTGCCCGTTGCCAGGAGTGGCTAATTCTGCACTGCAGAACCAATAGGCAGCTATGCATTATCACTGCAGCTAAAGTGCTGCAGTACTTACCCTAACACACATTTCCAAAAAAACACATTTCCAGAGAAACTCTGTAACAGATCATCAAAGTCCATTTTCATTTGAAATCAAGCGTTTGTAATAAGTTTAAATAGATCCTAGTTTAAAAATGTTCCTGTGCTTAATATATAAGTATTTTATAGATTCATTTTTATTGATTCATTTTTACTGAAAGCTAGTTCAGGAGCAGAGGATAATACTTCACTTGTTTTTATGTCCCCTGACTCCTTAACATTCTTCTGATATCTTTGCACACAATGTTTCAGAAATGCTGAGTTGCTCCTGTGCTGTTTGAAAAGAGCAGTTGTTCATAAAACCTGTCTTAAAGCTGAGTGCACGGATCAAACACTTCCACTTGGCATGCTGCCATACCAACCTGGAGCAGGAAAAAAAGGCAGAAGAGAAGTTTTGAGAGCAGAAAGAAAAGCCTAACAAGGGAGAAAATAAGGGAGAAAAACATGCCATGTACTGAATAAACTGGAAAAATTGGACAGGACTAAACTTTCCTTTCCTGAGAGCATTACAGAAGCAATTACAGCAATCTAAGTGTGCTGTTCCACAGAGCAGTAATTTATTTTTAGCTGAAATCAAGAGCATTATGTGGCAAAAATAAATGTGTCAGTGGAACTCAGAGCAGATGGAGTACCTGCAAACAGCGGTGGCCTGTGCTCTTCAGTCTGCTTCAAAGAGTTTWGTCGTACATTCAAGTGTTCTGCTGCCCTCTCAGGGAGTGTTTGCTGTGGGTGGTGCATTTGTCCTCCCTCAACACAGCTGGATTCCCGAGAACAGTGAACATTTCTGAAGTTTTACAATTAACCCTGCAAAAGATTATTTTTAAAGAACTTCTCCTAAGAATATCAACTTTAGAGAAAACCAGCAGCACTGAGCCACATGATTCATCTCTCTTTTCTAAAGGCAAGTCCAATGGAGAATCACAGACAATTGCTTTCAGTGGGTATTTTGTTGTCACTGTGGGACCCACAGATAGTTTAATTTACTTTGTCTCCCCCGGAGGCCCTTTTTATCTTCACTCTTAATTCCTTTCTGAAATGAAGCAATGGGTCTGACTCATTCAAAACTTCATAGCCAGCTTCCTAGAGTCAGAGAGTAGCTGAGGTCAGACAGGTCCTGCTCAAAGCAGGGCCACCTTCAAAGCTAGGCCAGGTTGTTCAGGGTCTTGGCCAGTCCTGTTTTGGACATCTCTGAGGACTGACATGCTCCAGTCTGTCTGGGCCCCAGTTTCAGTATTTCACCACTTTCAGTGTGAAGATTTTTAATTTGTAGTTAATCAGAATTTTCCTCGTACATGTTGATACCCATCTTATTAGCAGAGAATTGAATGCATTTTTTGCCTTGGCAGTAGTTGTGCGCTAATTTTCACTCTTCACCTGGACTGGTTTTTCAGGGTCTGGTATCCAGTTTGGGGAATGCAGCATTCTAACAGCTTGATGAAGAAAAAGAAATTCTGTAGAAAAACATTGTTGAGAAATATTTTTTGGCCAGCTTCAAGAATGATACTTAGGATATTATCAGTGTCTGGCTATGAGGAAATAGTTTCAGGATATCAGGAAGTTGGATCCAGCAATTACCTTGGTTCTGAATGGTCTGATCTCTTTTCCAGCTGTAATTCATCATGTGCATTTTTCATATTTATTTGTTACAGTCATTTAAAAAAGTAACTACATTTGCAGTTATAATGGCTGCCCTGCAAAAGATTCAAYAGACTTCCAGGGAAGTAGTAGAGGTTAAAATTGGGATAGGAATCTGCCTCCAGTTTTCCATACAGAGAATAGCTTACACTTTTAAACAGATACAATATTGTTTACCTAATGCTGCTGAACAATGATATCCTGGGTTCATTTTATCASATATGATACCCCGAAATAAAAGATTGTTCCGAGGCTGGTAATTGGATACAGCCTTTTGTCTTTAATTGAGGTCACTGGAGTCAAAAGATGGAAAGCGAAAAGATGGTCTATAGAAACAGCTGGCTTATTTGAGTTGAGATCTCTCAATGCAAATGTGAGCGTTAAAGACTAATAATTGCTCCAGCAATGAGGAAGAGCAA